TGTGTCGCCTGGACAGTCAACCTCGCTACATCCTTGTTGACTGGACATCTACACTACATGAGCTGCTGTTTACATGTGAACACTACCTCATGACGATACCTAATAACAAAATATTATGATGCGTATTTCTGGATTATCTAATAAAAGAATGTCGGCCGATATTATATCTGCGTTCGTCATAAATTGAGTTTAGTTTACATGTGAACACTACCTTATGACGATACCTAATTACAATTAGGTAACAAAATATTATGATGCGTATTTAGGTATCTATTAAAAGAATGTCGGCCGATATCATATCTGCGATCGTTCATAAATTACCTAAGTTATTCGCAGTGAACACGTTTTTTTTATTATTGGACAATAAAAATACAATTATTCATAATCCTATTACAATTATAATCTGGATATGTGAGAAATGTATTGAATTGGTGGTATTCATAATATATTTTTATAAGAAGGAAATTTTCTAGATCTTATACTGTACTATTACTAACTAAGTAATATGACTACGAAGCAATATGCAAACGTGTGCTAACAGAACAGTAGAACACATTTTTTAATCACCTTATCTCCTCTCGGACAGGGGCTTTATATTTGACGGACAAAGAGCCCTCAGACCACCACAGATGGGGCCCAATAGGGTTGATACCGGTACGGAGCCAAAAGTGCTGCCGGGGCTCCGGCTCGAAGTGCAGGAGTAGCAATAGGGGTATTAGTCAGTAAGAGTCAGGAAAAGGTTTTAGCATTAATCACCACGCTTGCTCAATGCGGGTTGGCGATTTCAAACTTATAATTGTAAATTATAAGCCCAGGTTTCCTCACGATGGTTGCGTTCACCGTTTGTAAGTGGCGTGTAAATAATCTTAAAAAATACATAATTATTATGTATTATAACTCGGAAAAAGTCACATTGGTACTTGCAGTTGGTAGGTTGCGAACTCGTGCCCTTATGCATGAGAAGCAGGCGCGTCTTAAATCTCCGGGCCACCACGACAGGTCTGTCATATGGCCGTCACGACTTGTCTGTCGTCAATAAAACAGCTATAGAAAAGCATGTGTTAGTTAAAATATTTCCGTTATCACAATCACGATCTTAACGGTCTCTTATCTACATAGTCTATATACTTATTTCAGTTAAAATACATATAACCGGTATTTTTATGAGCACGTCAGACAGCTATACGGACAAAACGATTTTTAAATTAGCAAATGTTATGCAATATGACTTGTTGGTCAATTTAGAGACTAGTATGAGTTTTCTTTTTAGAGGGGAATGTCATCGAATGACTCTGATCATGATCTGATCGATGCTCCCGCCTGGGTAAGGCGGGAGGGAGTGTCAGTCTCCTACTGACTAAAAAAAAACCACCTCGTTCCTTCTCCTGCATGTCGAGCCGGAGCCCCGGTACCCCGTTAGGTTTTCCGCGACAGTATGAGTAGGTATATGATACTTTCCTAGTTAAAAGATTTTATTCGTCCTAAGGAAACTGAAATACTTCACTAATAACAACTATTGGGTTTTAAAAATCTAATATTTTCTTCCAACTCAAGAATCGACCTCGAGACTTCAGATCAGTGGTAATGAGGTAATTTTTAAGCCTAATACATCAACATAATTCAAATAAGTTTACATGAACATATATTTTTCGATATAAATATAACTACATAAATATTTACAACTTAAAATTAACTACAACTAAACTATTAAATAAAAAGAAAGTAAAAGAAAACCACAAAAATTATACCCTTAATTTAGGCGTCAAAGTATTCGTCCGCATCACTATCACAGGGGAAAGTTCCCAGAAGACTGGCAGCATTGCCACGTTGAATGGCAATGCTTATTTTCTGTCCGAAGAAAAAGCCAGCCAGGTCACGTGTAGAGTCGATAAGAAATAAGTACTTAAATGTTGAAATATTATTAATATGACATAATAATGGCTACATGTGACACTAACTTATAAGTATTATTGTATAACACTGCACGGAATGGTCCTGTGGCCAGATAACCAGCCTCCGTGCATCATGGAATGGGTCTGATCCCCGTAAGGAACAACTCTTTGTGTGATCCTCAAACTATTGTTCCGTGTCGGGGTGTCATGTGTATGTGAACTTGTGTGTTTGTAAACGCACCCACGACACAGGAGAATTTCCTAGTGTGGGGGCAACATTTTTATTATTATTATATTTAATCTGATGGGTGGTGGTCAATGCTCATTACTTCTCCATGTGTGAAGCTCTTGCATAAATTGTACTAGAAAAATATTAATTTATACTAATTGCCACTCACTTTGAAACATAGTATGTAAATCATACAAGTATCATAACAAGCTATCTTTACATTCATGTTAATATTTCATTCATCATTTCATCGTTTTGCATACAATACTGTACAAGTCATGTATCGTACAGGGCATGTGCATATTCACATCAGCACTTTTACATCGCTTTACTTAACCCATAAATTACCAAGCGGTCACCGGTGACCGCTTTCCACTAATATTACATTACATTATAGACCTTATTTGTAATATTTAGAGACTACTTTTGTATGACCAAATTTAGGGGGTGGATTTCAACGGGTTAAATCACTGTATAAAGCGCCAATACACATTCAGCACTCATATCCATTAATACTCACCACATCAACCTAGATAGCATTCGTTATTTGGTAGCTAAGTATATAATAAACGGATATTCTTTGACTGTCAGTGATTTCTTCGTATCTAAATATTAAGTTGTGTGCGCCTCACTCAGCAGCGCATACAATACAATACAACACAAAATTATACAGTCTTTTTAACCAATCTATACTAAAGTAGACTCAGAAATATAACATTGTGTGTCAGTGTCAGAGGTTTAAGACACCTGCTTCTCAAAAATGAGAGTGCGGGGTCAAAACCTACCAAGTACCAACGTGACTTTTTCAGAGTTATATGTACTTTCTAAGATCATTTAGACACCACTGACAAACGGTGAAGGAAAACAACATAAGGAAAACTGGGCTTATAATTTCTAATTATAAGTTTGGAATGGCCAACCTGCATAGATCAACCTTCTGTGTGAGGAGAGGTTTTGCTCAGCAGTGACCATTATAGGCTGTTGATGTTTATACATTCATAAATGCTGAAGAGTTTATATGTGTATTTGATTGTGCTTATCTCTGGAAGCACTGGTATGTCCAATTTTAAAAATTCTTTTTGTAATGAATAGTCCATTTATCGAGGAAGGCTATAGACTATAGAACATCACGCTACATTCGATAGAAGCCGAGCAACGGGCGAAATCTCGCGGGAATATTTTTTAAAAGTTAAATTTACAATCTTATAGAAGGTAAGTTAAATTGGTGAGCATAAATCAGGCACTGTTCTAGACTCCTTTTACTCAGTCTGAAACCATATTAAATGTTTATCTTATTAAAAATATAAATACTTAGTGTATAGAAAAACATGTATTTTGTCATTTAATTTACTTTACAACTTTTATACAATCAATTATTTTTGTGCTTTTCTTTTTTACTTTCGTTTTATTCAATACTTTAGTTGTAGTTAATTTTAGGTTGTAAATATTTACCTACGTAGTTAAATATTTTTAAATTGTACATAAACAAAAAATAGATTGTTAATTATTTTTTAACATAAGGATAAGTCCATGTTACATGACCATTCAGCCAATTAATTTGTCTATAGTAAATAGTGATGTTATCCTGAGTTGGTAATGATTTAGGCAGAAAGCAGTTATGCAAAACAAGCACTGTAGCCATTTACTCAATGTCAAGGCGTAATCTCTCTACATAAATTCAGGGTCAACTCTAATGATAAAAAAGTTATGTGCGATTGCCGGCGCATATAAATGTGATTTTATGTTTCCGAATAATAAAATTGTTATACGAAATAAAGCTATCAATTTACATTGTTCGACTAAAAAACAAAGTACAAAGAATACGATAAATAGTTACTACGGGGATAACCATAATACCGCTAAATTCTTCCTAACATTTATAGTTTAAATTGATGCCTAAATAACTGTTGTCAACCGGAGGATCCACGACTCCGGGCACGACCGTGAACTTTTTTTTCTAATTAGACCGAAAGGAGCGAGACATCAAACACTGACTGCATAGATTTCGTTTAATATTACATCTACGTACGTTCAAATAGTTTCTATATATGATACATGACGTAATAACGTACCTAGGATTATTTTCCGGCGGCTCGCATGAGGTTCCTCAGTGTAAACCCACTCAAAATCGGTTCTGGATACGCGAGCACCCATGTTTCAAACACTCTTAGTTTACTGGTTATAATAATAACATTAGAAAAACTCCACACCGCGCGTTACTAAACTCTTAACTAAAAAGTTATGAAGCAATGCGATATCACGAGCTATCGGTTTTTGTAAAATAAATACAAACACGACACGACAGCTTTCTTGCGGCGCGGCTGATTGATTGAAATGAACGAAGAGAATCATTCGTTTTCATAAACTCACGTGAACGAGTAAGTGAACGAATGAGTGTTAATTTGTTTATGACTCACTCTATGATTAGGATGACGAACCCTTGAGATATTGACGATCCGCAAATTATTTCGCACTTTGGTCTAAATTACCACGCGATGTAAATGAGATAAAGCACGAGTTTTAACCAATCTTCGAGATATCTTAAGACTTTATAAATGATTTCTTCGTATTTTTAAACTTAATCTGACTATTTCTATTTACCTACTACTTTACTTATTTAATTTTTAGTAAAACAATGCAAAATGCAACCATAGTCTCAATGGATTTTATTAGAAATGGCATTTATTGTGGCTGAGAAAATTAAGTTTATATTTCAGGTGGAACAACGAAACTGTTTGTGAAATACTTCACTGCCACTGAACCTATTATGATGTCATATTTGTAATATGTCGCAGATTGGAGTAAAAAAAATATTTTTGGCGTCGTTGTTAGTGAATTGCTTTATCTCTATATTTACTATATTTACACGAATAGATACTATTAACCAGGTTTTTGAAAAAATACTCCAGTAAAAATAGGTGAATACTTAATAGTTACTCGGTAAGTCAGTATTTATGGATTTTGAGTATTTATCCGAAAAATCGCCCATCTATATTTTCTCTACTAGCATTAAACAACACACCGTGCTCATAGCACGTGACTACAATACGAAAGATATACCTGCAATAAATAAGGAGGAGCAATCGTGTTAATAGAACGAAATATTTGAAACCTACGTTCAAAGAAACCAACTGCAACCCATCTTTTTTTGAATTCGACTAAAAATCGTGCAAGTTTTGTGGCGGGATGAGGCCGGCGCTATCATGGCGCAATGGCAGCAACGACTGTCGCAACCGAGTGCTGGGCTCGCTGTCATTGCCGCGGTAAGTCCCCACTTTGATGAGTGGCTTGAGAGACGTTACGGCGTCTTCACCAACCGCCTGACCGGACACGGAAGTTTCGGTAGGTTCCTATTTCGGATTGGGCAGGAGGAAACGCCCGGGTGTCATCACTGCGAGGCCCACCCGGAGGACACAGTGGAGCATACGGTGGCGATGTGCCCTGCGTGGGCTGAGCACCGCCGTATCCTCAGGTATGTGATCGGCGACGGTGACCTCTTGCGTCCGCCACTGGTTCAGACCATGGTACGGAACAAGGGGGACTAGGTTGCCGTCTCCTTCTTCTGCGAAGCAGTCATGCTAGCTAAGGAGGAGGCGGGATGCGTGGGGGAACGAACCTCCGCACGCCCTAGCCATCGCGAGAGACACTCTGGTCGTCGGGGATCGCAAGACTATCTCCGGCCACCGTAAGCACGGGCCGGCTGCGGGCGGCGAGCACGGGTGTCTCGCCGCCCGACCACAACCAGACCCAAGCGTACACCGCGTCGCGTTCCATGCGCGCCTCAAGGAGCTACCAGGCTACCACAGATAGACCCAATAGGGCTGACGCCGATATGGAGCCGTGGAGGACTTAACGTGTTACCTTTGCTCCGGTTCGAAGTGCTGGAGTAGGAACGGGGTAGCTTTTAGTCATTCAGAGTCTGACACTCCCTTTCGTCTCATCCGGGTGGGAGAAATCTTTGGATGATTTCCAGTCATCATAAAAAACGATATTAAAATCTAGTCTACAACCCTGCATCTATCAGGTGACAATAAAGAAAAGTAAGATAAATCCAGCACTTTCGTGACAAAACGTGGCTCTTCCACGTGGACGAACAATGCAGCAGGGCAGAATAATTTATCTAATGACAACGAGACTCAGTGAGCCATCTCAGGGTTGGAAGACTAAAGTTTTAAACAATGATTATGACAGACATCTGTTCGACTTTCAACTTTACTACACAATCATTAGGTTGAAAAACTATTTAAGAATTTCGCAGTAGGTAGTGAAAAAAACTGTTTTTTGTAGATGTGTACAACGTTATTGTTATTGAAAAATAATTTGGACGTAATCAAAAATAAAAACTTAGTTTAAAAAACCGACTTCAAAAACCCAAAAACTAATAATGACTAATATGATTCCATCATCAGATCCTGACCTCATAGAAATGGGGCCATTTCGGGAGCATACCCTTTCAAACAAAACAAGAATTTTGGAAATCGGTTCACAAATGGCGGAGTAATCGGCGTACAAAAAAAAAAAGAAAAGAACAATCAACCGAACATAGTTCACACCCTCCTTTTAATAATCGAAAACAAAAAAACAAACATGAATCTTTGATTACTGCCTCGTTGGCCGAGTGGTCGCAAGAGCGATTGCCGGGTCGGGCAAAGTATTACTGGGTTATTACAAAATTCTCAGTAGTAGCACGGAGTCTGGAATTGTGCCCGGTATATGGCAATAGGCTCACCCCTATTACATGGGACTCATAACATAAATAGTGAAAAGTGGGTGTTACATTGTACAGTGGCATAATGTGCACCTATTCCTACCGCTTCGGGGATAAAAGGCGTGATGTTATGTTATGAATCTTTGATTAGTCGATCATTTTGCGTCGATATTGATCATCATACCTAGATGAGTCTCATTTTTTATTGAGTCATATTTTTCAATGTTATTATTTTCAGCTGAACACCTGAAAAGCATCCTTTGAGTCATATTTTTAGATCGTATGTGATGGTATAAACAACATAATTGTAATAAACAAATAATTAAGTAGGTACCTATCATGAATCATATTGTTGGGTTGCAGATGTTTTATATAAGCTGATTAAAATATCATTTGATAAGAGGTAATTTTTCTATCAAGTGCCTATCTATTTCTGCGAGTCACACATCTGACGAGCCACTCATTAAAATTGTTTGACAACAATTGGGTAGTTTTCAGGGTATCAAAATTAAAAATGTAATTAGTCCATCAGTTAGTTAATGAAAAAATTTAAATACAATTTTTATTTTCTCGTATTAAGGTGCAGTCATTCGATGATTTTCCCCCCTTAAAAAAAAAACTTAAAAAATCTAATTGTGGCTTAATTTCAGCAAGTAAGAAAATGTACACCTCGCTCAGTACACAGCAGAGAGGTGCGTTCACGGAACATGTTTGTTAATTGTGTTTCACATTTATATAGTGCACAAAAAATATATAATATACAGTCTATGTAACAACCATCCCAGGTAAAGAGTAGTTCTGTCATTGGAATTTGTCCTATGTTTGCATAGTTTGCAGCTTCAAGTTTGCCCCCATTGTGTTTGCTAAGTAGATTTATGGTAATCCGTGGCAACACCGTGAGGAGTGTATTTGTTAAATCTATTATTTTACTCACCTGTGTTATATTTAATATACTGCTGTTTGTTGTCCTTGATAAATAAAATAAAATATATATATTATAATATTGCTTTCTACATACGCGGCTGTAATAATATTTCTTCTTTTTTATGAAAATTTGAATTGTGCATATGATAGTTGTGTACTATTTGTCAGTTTCCGTATTTCTGTAACAAATGCGCCTGATACAGTCCTCGCGCAAATAGTCATTATTTAGATGTGGATTTTTGTTTGCAATGTTAATTGTCACAGGCGCTTAACACACATTTTATGTTTATAGTAAGACTTTCTTTTGGGGATTTGAGGTTAAGGGATTCGGGGATTGTGTATGATCAATAATTTTCTATTACCTCACTCAAACGCCGTAATAGAAACGAAAAGTTTTTCCACGCCGGTTTTCTGTGAGACTGTGTTAACAATCTAGTTGAGGTGGCCATTTGTGGTGACGGTGGCTTATGCTTAGTGTTTATAGAGATTTAGGATAAGGAAATATATCGAAATGTAATAATTGAATTTTTATATTGATACGAAGAGGATGTTGAATTAAAGGATTTTGACATATTAAATCGAATCACTTTAAATGTCCCTTAGTTCACAATATTGAAGTATAACTTTAAAGAAATAAATACGCGACAAATCATTTAAAAATTAATAAAGTACGTCTACTCAAAGAAATACTTTACAATTTACATTAGTTATTTAAGTATTTATGAAAAATTTCATTGTGCGAATTTAGTAAGTTTTACTAAATCGACTATGACTATGACATGTCTATTATCGACAGCGGAGTTACGCTCACTCTATGTTGTCTTTGGACAGTCCTCCCTGCCTCCTGCATCCATAAACAAAATAAAGTCTTTCTAAAGTTAGATAGTGAACATGGCGGTTGGTAAAAATAAAGGCCTGTCGAAAGGCGGTAAAAAGGGTGTTAAGAAGAAGATGTAAGTGTCCAATAAATATCAAATTTATCGAAGAATATATTACTCTTTCTGCTAAACTTAAAACCGAATCTGTGTAAAATGTGATGTCGCGAATATTTTCGGATATAAGTTAGACGGTCTCGTGTCATGGTGTTTTCATGTTAAAACTTTATTTTATCAGTGAATTACTAGTTCTAGTGCTTTGTTCATAATGATAAATGTGTTCTTGAGAAAATTGCAATCATACATAAATTATTCTTATGGAATTTGGTGAGTTTTTGGTTGTAACAATTTGAGGTTATGTTTAAATCTTGTACATTTTCAGTGTCGATCCCTTCACCCGTAAAGATTGGTACGATGTCAAGGCTCCGTCTATGTTCACCAAGAGGCAAGTGGGAACCACCCTTGTCAACCGTACTCAGGTATGTTAACTCTAACCTCTTAAGACTTAGGCTGAATGCCTAGATGTCTTGGACTTTGGTTCTACTTACTGCTAAAATTTGTAAACTTTATGGTTATTTGATGCGGGAATCGATGAAATCGATGTAAAAGATGTATAATTCATTGACAAAACACCACATGGTAAAGTTTTATGCTTTATTTGAGCCCTAGACTTGTGCATAACCTAAGAAGTTCTTACTATGAATTCAGACAATCATCGACGTCTCTAATTGTTTAATATATTGTAATTGCTTTTATTTATTTTGTCTTAAACTACAGGGTCTCACCTTGCACCCTTATTGTTATTGTTCATACATAATAGACAAACACCACATGTCC